AGTGCCTCAGCCCACTTTTCCTTTGCACGGAGGTAAGAGTTTCTTGGGAGAGGGACGTGAAGCATTAGGTCGAGAATCTGCACCCCACCTCACTGGCCTTCTGCTCTTGTTGGTCCGAGGGTCTTTATGGACCCCCACTGGTGGTGGCCATGTTCAGTGCTGACTCAGAGTCGTGACCTTGCATATAGGGAACAAGGTCAGGCCTGCACCAACTTTGCCGTGGCGATGCTTGAACACGGGGCAGTCCCTGTGTCCACCCATCTCCTGCCCCATCACAGGGAGGAGGGGCTCCACGGAACTCCGGGAGGCTCCCCCAATGCCGCTCTGATTCTTTTAGTGACTCATTTTGAAGCACTGTCAAAGAAATAAATAAAGGGAGCATTAACCTGGACCCCCAGAGCCCGTGATCATTCAGTGAATATTAATTTCACAGTGATGCGGCTAATCCAGGTGAAAGGAAATATTTATAAAAAAGTGATAAGCATGAGCCTGCTGTAGTCTCTAAATGCATCTTTTAAAAAAATGCCTTAATGGCTTGAAGTAATAAGAAAGAGGCCAACTCCCATTGCAGCTTGCCGTTGAAAATGACTGACAAGAGTCTCTCCTTCCTGCCAGGTGAACAGGAAGGAAGAGACTCTCATAATGAAGTGGGCGATGGTGGGGGTGGGGGTGGGGTGGGGGGACAGATGACTCTGCTCTCTGTGCTGTGAAATACACAAACCCCCAGGCATGTTAATTTTTTGACAAATAAACCATAAACGGTGACAGAAGATGGTCCCAGGAGCCCCCTAGTTCATTCTGCCCGTGTGTCAGCTGGAAGCTCCCTCCACACTCCTCACAAAGTCTTAACATAGATTAGCGAGATTCTCTTCCGCCCCTTGTTTTGCGGGTGTGGAGAACCCTGCGTTAGTTTGGAAAACTCATGATCCTGTTTTTATTTAAGACGAGGGGTCTTTTTTCTTCTCCACGGTAGATTTCCAGTCAGGAGATGTGGGGATTTCCCCCATCTCATCGTGCCTGGTGTGTAGATCGGGACGTTTAAGAAGAGCTAGTGCCATTTTGAGGCTTCCACCTTCTGTTGTTTGTGGATTTCATTCCACGGACCTTGTGCTGGTTTTGAAAAACTTCCAGAGCCAGGGGATGAAGGTCACATTTCTTCATCTTCTCTGATCTTACACGATTTATGTGTCCATGCTACCAACACACAGCCCACGTCATGTGATTGACTCCTCACAGATGGCAGCGTGAGCACACGCGTTGGCTGTTCGTCTCCTCTCATCCATATTTTAGGTTAGAATTTGAAAGTTAAATTGTTAGCGACCCTAGAGGACCAGGTTAGAACTGCCCCCTGCCAGTTTCCTAGACTGGGGACTCTGTACTGTCTGGCAAGCCATTTCTCTCTTCTCTACGCCACCAAGACTCCTTGTGAGCATGCTAGGCAATTAGAATTTTTTTCCCACAGTAAGGAAACATGTGCCCGATGCTAATCGTAATTCTGACTTTACAATGCATCAATGGTGGCATTGACATGCTCCTTCTGCACCGCTTAGCTGAAACTCAAAATAGCCAGTTTGAAATTGGGACATTCCTTTGTCACCATATCATCTAGACCTTTGTGAATGGTATCAGAATGATGTGTCCTCCCTCTCCTGGGGGATGCCCATCCGCACCCCACCCCACCCCCATTCTTTTTCATTTAGGGAAACATGGAGATTTGCGCCTGCAAGGAAAAGACTTTTTTCCAGCAGGCCTGGTTGCTTTGGCAAGAATACAGTTTTCTTTCAGGTGGCGTGGTATTGGCTGCTGCTGCAAAGAAAAGAAAACATAGTTAGTAGGCTCCAAATTGCACTTGGGCGATACCTGCCTGGGAAAAAGGGCACGCTCTCTCCTAAGTGCTATATATATAGCACACACAGTCACTTATGGTGTGCAGTTGTCATGGTAATGAAAAGGCAATGGTCCTTGGTGCTCCATTTGAGTAAATAGACTTGGACAACTTGGGTAACTTTATGAGACATAAATTATTTCTGGTTCGTGCATGCACAGAATACTGAGAACAGTCGTGTTTAAACACCTTTCGAGTTGTGTGTTTTCTGGAGTAAGCAAATGTAATTTAT